GTTTCATGGCCCTTCGGCTCCTAGTTATTTTCGTAACCTTACGAACATATAATAGTTTCATGACATTTGAGACGCTGTCCGCTTGTATGTCTACAATGTCACATGATTCAGTACTACGCATGTACTCCAATTCAAAAGTACGGGTTTCTAGGCAAATGATGTTACTCGTCAAAACACGCTGCATGTAAATTTATTAAGACTCTAAGCTCCGCCCTATTTTCTTAGCTCCGCTCTCATCTTCTTAGCTCCGGCACCATCCTCTTAGCTCCGCCCCCATCCTCTGAACTCCACCATACTCCTCTTAGCTCCGCCCCCATCTTCTTAGCTCCGTACCCATCCTTTTAGTTCCACTCCCATCCTCTTAGCCCCGCCCCCATCTTCTTAGCTCCGACCCATCCTCTTAGCCCCGCCCTCATCTTCTTAGCTCCGACCCATCCTCTTAGCTCTTCCCCCATCCTGTTAGCTCCGCCCTATCCTCTTAGCTCCGCCCCCTATCCTCTTAGCTTTGCCCCTATCTTCTTAGCTCCGCCCCCATCCACTTAGCTCCGCCCCCATAGTTTTAGGTCCGCCCCCATCCTCATGCTCCGCCCCCATCCTCTTAGCTCCGCCCACATCCTCTAAGCTCCGTACCTACCCTCTTAGCTTCGCCCCTGTCCTCTTAGCTCCGCCACCATCCTCAAATCGCCGCCTCCGTCCTCCTAGGTCCGACCCCTAATACTCGTAGCTCCGCCCCCATCCTAATTGCCCCGCCACCATCCTGTAGGCTCCGCCCCTATTATCTTAGCTGCGCACCCATCCTCTTAGCTCCACACCCATCCTCTTAGCTCCACACCCATCCTCATAGCTCCGCACCTATCCTCTTAGCTCCGCCCGCATCCTATTAGTTCCGCCCCCATTCTCTCAGCTCCGCCTCCATTATCTTTGATCCGCCCCTATCCTCTAAGCTCCGCCTCCTTCCTTTTAGCTCCGCCCTCATCCTCTTAGCTGCGTCCCCATCCTCTTAGCTCTGGCACCATCCTCTTAGCTCCTCTCCCATCATCTTAGCTCTGCCCCCGTCCTCTTAGCTCCGCCCCTATCCTCTTAGCTCCGTCCCCATCTTCTTAGCTCCGCCCCCAGCCTCGTAGCTCCGCCCCCATCATCTTAGCTCCTCATCCATCCTCTTAAGTTGTTATTTTTCATCGTTATCTAAGGATAACAGAGCAAAATTTGAACATATAATTATGGCTTAAGCACATTTATGATATATGACTAGTAAAAAGTTACTGAAGTTTAGTTTTTGTTTAGTTTCAAATTTACAAATATTACAATTTTTTCTAATCGATCATATTTTCAGATTTACGGATGTGCCCTGAACCAAGGATACACCTCGTGTGAGCAGCTGATCGAAAGTGTGCGCCAAGCGAACGTTCACAACTGCGCCGCTGCTGACGTAGAGTTCGCCGTAGCCGTTTACGTTCATCCCTACATGAACAATATACTGTCGGTGTGGATTTCGGTCTCTCAGCTTCTTCGCAAGCGAATGTGAGCCATTAGACAATGAAAACATACATGACTAGGGAATTACCTATTGTGTTCTATCTCTATTATTCTCTGCGTCAGGGTTCTAACTGACAGAATGAGAAGTTACAGCAAGTTCTGTTAAAAATTCGATTAATTCTTCATGGGATAACACCGCATATCGAATTCATCACAAGCATATTCCCCAACGTGTCAGATAGTCCTCGACCTGTTTTTTGAAGAGCCATAATATAAAACAGAAAACGCAGCAGTATAAATCAGTACCGTTAGGCCTCCACTTTCCTATGGAGGCTTCTGCTTCGACAATGGAAGCTAATTCATAATTTCGCTTAAATACCAATTTTGTTCCATACCAACGTCGTCATTCATGCATTGGTTGGAATGAGTTGCGAGGCCTTCCTTTATCTTCCGATTTATAAAACTTATGTTATGATGCGTTCCTCTAATTTGGCGCCATAATACGCATAGTCGATCTGGTACTGTTCTGTATATGCTATGTTGTGTACGTTTATAGGTATTGTCTTACTGTCACATGGAAATTGTCAATGAATTCATGTCTTTGCTGAAACTTTCGTCAAAAATATAAATATTTAGCTTTATTATACGATAAGAGGAAAGTTGCATAACTCTCTGGATGAATGTTCCCTGGATAAGCTTAGGTACTTTGACGTAACTGCAACATTTTTTATAATAATGATGCTTCATATTCACAATTTAATGGCGTTTTAGCAGTCTACGTTGATGCCATGCGGAATCCATGTCGGTTCTAATAGAACAGGATTCACTTCTCACATTTTATTTCGGATATGGGCTGTCTTCATTACGCCAACATTATTCAGCTGCATTCATTTCGACAAACATTTCGTGTTTCAGTATGACCGGGCCTCAGTATTGACATTGCACGCTTATTGTGCTCTGGGGGCGGCTAGCTACAAACAGGACTTAAGTACCTTGATCCAGTTCATATGAAGAGTTTTATTTTAAACACATTGATTTTTAATAGATGTTTTAAGTTTGTTTTGCATAGGTAGTTTTCAGGGGATCTAAATGTTGAGGCAAATGAGTTTATTGATCTTACAATTTTATGATTCTGGGCGCAAGGCGAATTAAAACACTTTTATTAACCAATCACCAAATTTTTCAGGCATAATAAAAGCCTTTCTCAAGACAAATATGTAAGCAAAACAGATTTCAGTAATAATAATGAAAGTCACGCGAACATTCGCCTATAGGAAAGTCACCAGGTTACCGTCAACCATGCCAACGGGGGAAAACTCCATACACTTTGACGACACAAAGTGTTGCGACACGCGCGATTCATCGCCGAATGCAGTAGGTCCAGATGATCAAGGTGAATGACGAAGCCCACGTAACTTGAATACAGTCAACGACGACATCACTGGGAGGGGGGCAGCTAGAGATTACTGTATCCAGCTATTGAGACTATATTTTCATCCTTCTTATTATTGCATAATCAATTGTTTGGGTGATTTGTCTCGAGATGGGCTATTATTATGTGACCAACATGTCAACAAATTGTTAACGGTATCTGAACACAGATCATCGGCCTTATCCCAAAAGTTTTCAAGTGGAAGATCAACAACTGTACACTTAAACAATTCACTCATTCTTCTCTGGAGGATCCCCGTTGTCAAGTCTCGAAACACACGTTGGTATCTCCCGTGCGATTTGACGTCACAATTTTTCATATCTCTCTGTTGCTTCATCGTCAAATCTCAGCCAAAATCTTCCAAATGGACGCATGCAACCTATTTAGTTCCACCCGTTCCATGCTGAAGTCCATTGGTCATCAGTCAGTCGTGTGATTTTGTCCGACTTAAGCTGGACTCTGAGTATTGCGAGGTATTGTTGCATTTCCTTTCCATTCCTCTTCGAAACGTTTTTAGCTACAGACCAACTTTGCCAAGTGCCTTGGACAAAACGTCCATTTGTCTGTCACCCCAGCCAAATCGAGTTCCAGGTGACGGCTGTAAGAGGCTTGGCCCGCATGGAATCTTCCTTAGTGAGCTTAGACACAGTCATCTCTTCTTCAGCGGTTTCTCCTCTGCGCCACCGACCGGGACCTAACATCACTGAGGTCATTTAAACGGTATTTACTAAAAGCTGAACGGTTTAAACTTTTAAAATAATTATTACAACAATTAATTTAAACCGTATTACTATATGAGTTGCTACTTTATGTTTATCAAGTTTTAACAGCCAGTTTTTATTGTAATCACAGTGACGATCGACCGGCATATTCCGCTCAGTTCCGTAAGATGCCCGTTTCGTTCATATGAAAATTGTCATTTTTTAAATAAGGTAAATACTTTGAAGTGCCAAATTTATTTTTGCGCCATAATTGAGCATTATTCAGAGATATGATGTCCATCGAAGACGCGGCAAAAACAAGCCCACTAAGCGCAACATACACTCTCGATTATGCGCCTTCATTTAGTGCAATGTTAAGTGAACAGGCTTCAGAGATCAGCAAAGATTGGATTTCAAGGCGAACTGTTGGAACCCAGGATGGCAGAAGGATCGTTACTACTTCTACACAAACCGACGATATTTCAAGCATTTCTCCTCGAAACAGAATTCTCAAAAAACATAAGACGCTTACATGGGTGTTGCAGCCTCGGAGGAAAAGAGAACTTTCGAGAGTGAAAGAAAATGCCAAACAGTTGAATTCATTGGCACGTCAGACGAAAGACAGTCGGACTGGCACTGCAACACAGAATTGTTCCAGAAGAATATGTGGAACATGCCAGAGGCAAGAGCCTTTTCATATGAGGAAGACTTCAAAGGCTCCAGCCAGATCCTCGCAGCAAGAAGAACCTCCGGGCAAGCCGAAATGCAAAGACGAACGTCGTTTCGTAGCCACACAAAAGCAATGCTTGTCGAATGCTTTGGACTCGTTGTTGCCTATTCCAAAGCGGAACTTCACGTCTTTACGGTGGGCTGATAAAAATCATATGTCGAACATTAGACCTGACTGCGAGACACTTGACTCCTGCCTCATTCCTGCTACCGCACACACGACTGTTCCAGAAATCGACAGTATGACCGACAAAACGCTTAGGAGAAATGCGATCCAAATTGTTTCAAAAGCCGTTGTTCGAATGAACAACGCCACCGTGAAGAGGAACGCCGCAATCCGAAAAAAATTCCCACACCTTCGTCACTCATATTTGCTGAAATGAATGTGAAAAAGATCTCTGTCTTGTAATACAACTAAACCTACTAGTTACGGGTTGCACTTGTGCGGAAGTTGCTTCTAATAATAGAAATACCATTACAAACTGAATCCGCTGTTTGTACGGTGTGAACTTGAGAATTACCGTAGCTTACATTTTTGTCATGCATATATCAATCAACTTGTTGGTGCCATCGGTTAAACATGGCAGGAATAGAAGTCGATTCTCGCCATTTGCTGCATCGAAGATTTATTGACCCAACCGACTGGCAGAAGGCCCTTGGGATGGCCAAGTTTAACCTGGTGCAAATATATGGAAGGAGTATGTTCTAGACTCCAGGTGTCTTCTGCCGAAACTCAGACTCAGGCACAGGATCGGGAACGTTGGAAGCACTGTCTGATCTGACGCGTCTGTCTCCGCTACCTGAGAGGTAAATGAAATGGCCATGGAAGATGAAGATTTCTTCATTCTTACCACTTTGGCAAATTCTTTCTGTACTCGTTTCATTTGAACTGCTCAGCCATCATTCAATCGGTAGCTAATATCATCATTATCCGCCTCTATCAATCAGGTGCTTAATGAGAGGCTGTCCAAAATTTTCAGATTAACATGTTTCCTGCAGTTTTTACCCATCTTGATCCAGTAAATTTCTTTTAGCTCACCCTGTCATCGATCTTAAGATCTTTCTATTGGTCTCCATATATATAGACCTCACTCTTTTGGCCAAGACTCACCACCTAAAGCTCTTGGCTTGTATCTGGTGAAGAGTCATGCGACGAGTATTTCGAATTAAAAATCGACATTCGGCTCACTTAGACAGGTTTAAAGTGAGACCAAGGTCAGATCGTACAGAGAAGGCTGAAATATTTCTTTGATCGTTCTTCTTCAAAAGAAAGGTATTCCATTTCATTGTTGTCATTCTTACATGAAATGGAAGTAAACGTAGGCGACTAGGAAAC